GCTACATAAACTGATGTACTTACCTACGAAGTTCTACGTTGTAACTGACTGACTGACCCTCTTTTATCCTAACTTAGGACCGAAAGTCACCGCAGAAGGGTTCCAGGCAGAGTTAGTAGTTATGGCTTAGTATCTTAATATATACAATGTTATATTTATTATATGGATAAATTTTACTCAACCCAACATTGATATTTTATTTTTTGTTTTATTCAACTATTTTCCTCTTAAAGCTGCATAATTCATTATCTTCACCTGTCAAATCAACTGACATTAATCATATTAATAACAATAATAATAATAATGATGATTATAATTCAAATCATTCAAACTATTCATTGAATAATAATTTATCTATTAAAACAAAATGTAAAACTACGTCAACATATCTTCCTCTACCTCCTCTTTCATCAAATCGTATTGATTCACATAAACACACAACCGTCGTGCCGAAATCAACTAATCTTGTTATGTCTGCAACACCATCACAGATCCCTTCATCATCGTCATCGTTAACATCCGTGACGACAACAACGGTGACAATGACGACGACCGTACCACCACCACCTACAACAACAACAACACATTTCATGAATGGTGTCAACGATACTATCTCATCTCGTCCAATACATTCACATTTGAATGAAATCACACAAGATGTCAATGGTAGTTGTGGTGGTAGTAGTGGTAATAATACAGAGAATAATTTAAAAGATCTCTTACTGCCTGTTTCTTCAGACTCATCAGAATCGGATAGTGAATCAACCACCGAGTCAATTTATCATCAACCACCAAAAGCGGCAGATCGTAGTGCAGCTTTTCGACTAGCAAAAAGACTGTTCCACTTAGATGGTTTTCGTATAACTGATGTTGCTAAACACTTGAGTAAACGGTAAGTTGAATTTACTTTCTTTTTCCAAACGTTATTTTTTGGTCAACTTGTTAAGTGAAATATTAGCTTATGTTTGTTCTTAATGAGTAGTAGTAGTAGTAGTGTGGTGCGAGCTACTTATAAGTAGTATATGACGTGAGTGTAAACGTAATGTCTGGCAGCAGAAGATGGGGGAAGATCAAGAAAGGAAGAGTTAGAAGAATACAATGGGATTTGTATGAAATGCATGAATAGTGACATTGGATTGATGTTTTGCAACAGGAACAGTCCAGTTCGATATGATGAACTGATATTTTGCAAATTAACGATTTACGATATGGTTTTCCGATTTTACTGAATAACTCTGTAATTTCGTTAAATACAATTCGGTTGCCCCACCTGTGTTCTCATTCACTACAGTAGTAGTAACTTAGTGGTTAAAGTATTCGATATTCCAGTAAGTAAGTCGCAAGTTCAAATCTCAGATCAGGTTAATATAGTTACAAACTAGGCTAGGAAGTTTGAAAAGTTTTCAGGGTGAGACCATAATTTATGGACAATTCTTGATCGAATCTCAACTGACCTTGGAAATTTTCGGCCAGTCAGGAAACAGTTGATCTTGAGTAATAATTTATGTAGAACCAGAAAATTAAAGTGTATACGCTTCAGTATGGCCTAAAAGCTTGTTCAAGTTAGAAAAAGTCTCTGTGGTTCTAAAATCGTAATGCATTCACACGAATCAATGGCAGTTGACCTTTGCGACCGTGATAAGGTCTGAAAAACT